TTGGAAGTCTCTACTAATTGAAAGTAAATGACAGCTGTCTGACAGCATTTTTCTCCTGGGTTATTTTTGGGACAGGATTACATTTCCATGTTCATAGCAGAATGTTTAAGTTTCAGCACTTTGCAGCAGGACTTCTGTCCAGGGAATGCAGCAACACCCCAGTCCCAGCCTACAGATGGGATAAACCATCACAGAGAAGGCTCCAAACAGAGATCTGGAGTTTCTGCTCCCTCTGCCCTCCCTTGGTGCAGAGAGCAGCCTGTTCTATCCAGCTTCCCTGCAGCAACCTCAAACAAGTCTTATTATCTGCACAACTGCAGCTCGTGGTGTCTGCTCACTGCCTTCCGCAGCTGACACACAGTTTGCAGCAGGGAACAGAAATGTGGCAGCTGCTCCACCACCTCACAGCTCTGTGCTGGGGTGCAGCAAACGCATACGTACCCCAGGTACCAACAGCATTATCCACACCCGAGGGATTGCCGTGGATCACACGCTCCCCCTGGAAGGCCCAGCTGTTGATCAGAGTCATCTCTTCTTCTGTCCACCTGAAAGGCAAGAAAAGGACTCGAACACACAACCAAAAACCAGCACACAAGGAGTGACAGAAAGAAGCACATCAATGCAAGTCCAGACCCATCCCCACCCCCTGACATCGCTCCCACACACCTTGGCCTGAGGTCCTGCTTGCTGACACACAAGACAGCAAATGCAGCAAGAAGAGAGCACTAGAAGTTGCATTTCACACATGTAACTCCAGCCTCTAATTGCCAGCTGCTCAGCTGCAGAAGCCTCACAAATTGGGTCAAAAGATGCTGTTAGGACTGATTTAGTAGCTCCAGCAAAGACTTTGATTTTTAGGGATTAACTCCTAACACTTTGTGGCACGCTGGGTGCTGGCACTTACAACACAAAAGGGAACCAAATGCTGAACCTCGAGGTGTTATGCTAAAAACACAGGAACAGGGCTTTCTGTTGCCTTAAAAGCAGTCACACTTGGTAAGTGCTTTGAGAGTTTAAATGCTGGCACAAAGGGCTTGGTGCTGGGTCACACTCAGCAAGGATCAAGGCCCCTGACTGAACATACTAATTAACAGACTGCAGCAGCACAAAAAGCAAACACAGAGCTGCCAGTTACCAAGCACTTGCTGGCTGCAGCGTCACCACAATATCTTCTCAAAAGCCCACAGTTCTGGGCCTGCCTGTGCAAGGCAGCACCCACACAAACACAGCCCAGATTGCAGCAGTTTTCAAACCCTGCCTCTGACTCTGCCATAAATGAACACCTCAAACTCAACCTCAGGGATCCAGCTGGCACCCCTGCACCGTGCTGTAACACTTGGGCTCTGCAGCCCACACATTCCAAGTTGCTGTTAGGGTGGCCTGATGCATAGGAGCATCAGATAGTCCAGCAGCAGTGATGTTCTGCTGAGACTAAAGTTGGTGTTTGGCACAATGACAACGCACATTCAACAGGTTTTTAGGATATGGGGCCCCATATAGGAACAACGTAACAGAGGCACAGATTTTAGATAAGCATAAAGCACCCTTAAACAAGGGAAACAGTTACTGACCACTGCTAAGGCAGGGCAGAAATCATGAGAGCCACCTGTAACCTGGAAACCTCTCAATAGAGCTCCCCCATTTCCCCAGGCCACAGCTGAACATCTTTATCCATCTCCACACTTCTTTAATTTCACTTGCCAATATTTAATCTGTGAAGCATTCAGGACAACAGCTCACACCACCACTACTCAAAATAGAAGTGCAGTTTGCTGTAAACCACTTGTTTTTAATCCTCTTTGAGAGGCTGTGATTCTTCTCTACACAGGAGTCATTATATCACGCTGTTCTTTTCTTGCCACGTTAAGCAAAAACCTTCTGAAGTCTGACACCCCCATCTCTCACCCCTCTGCGTGCCAGCTGGAAGGAAAAAAAAAAATCATGCTGTATTCAAGCTGAAGCTAAAAGTGAGAGCAGGGGATGAAGACATCCATGCTGCTCACTGTCTGGTTCAGAACTGGCCTTTCATTTCTGACTACAGGGAGATTTGCCTGAGCACAGCTCACAAATGGCTCCACTTTAGGAATGTGTTTCTGGGTCAGACTGCCAGCTCAGGTTCTGAAGCAGAACACAGCCATCCCCTCGCTTGCTGTCTCACTTTCAGGCCCACATAAAATCCACAGAAGGCAGCTATAAAAGGTTGCACCTGGCAGGCAGTGAACAATGGAGGGTTCTGCAGCTCCAGCTGTGATATGCATCTTTAAACAGAGCCTCCTTAGACACACAGCAGAGCAGACCAGTTTTTCAAGATTGAGCTCCAATGGAAAGCAACGCAGGGTGGAGGGAAAGAAATTCTCTTTCAACAGCCACTGATAAAGGGAAAACTCAGGCAGGAAGTCAGAAGGAAATGGACCACATGCAGGAAAAAAAAATCCATGTGAAAAAAGACAGAAAGAATCCTTGAGGACTCAAAGTAAAACCTAAAAGATGATCACAGAGAAGAAATAGAGGTTTAAAAATATATATATATATCTACCACATTAAAGAGCACGTGTTACTTTCATGACAAAATAAAGCTATCTGTATCTTACAAAGCAAACAGTGGGGTCGAATGTGGGAGTTTCACCAAATCTCTGCATCCAGTTGCTTTTGTCAGAAGGAATGAATTGTAAACACGATTCACAGAGCCCTGGGCAGGGCACACCTCTGCTGCTGGGAGCACAGGCAGCAATGGGAGGAGAAGGGAAAGGAGCTGGGTTCAGGGTGGCACCGCTACAAACAGTTGGACAGAGAGACCAAGAGAGGTACTGGAGTTTGCTAAGAAAAGATGGGGCACAAACAGAACCTCCCACAGCCCTGAAGTGCACGCTGAAGGCAGGGAGGCTTCTCAGAGGCGTTACCTGGCTGTGGCCTCCCCATCCTTCAGAGGGCAGGAGATGGCTCTGCAGGCATGCAGCAGTGCTGCTGCCAAGCACACAGCATAGGCAGCACTCGAGCCCAGCCCAGCTCCTGTGGGCAGCTCAGACCACACGACTATGTCCACGCTGGGAACATCTCTGAAACACAAACACACAGGTGGTAATGGTGACCTCAAATTCCATCTTGAAACATTTCAAAGGCAAAAGATGCCGGTGGGGACAGATCACAGGAAAAGCTGGCTGAAAACTGGCAACATCAGCACAAGCATAACACATCCCAGGCACACGGGCTTCAGTTAGCACAGCTGAGTAGCCTTGCTAAGCCATTGTGCTAGAACAAAGCCTTGCTGAATTGGATCTATGATTAGCACAGCTTGTCAAGCTGCTAGTGGGGGCACTTTGTAACTTGGGCAGCACCATAAAGAGTCCCTTCAAAGACTTGGAAATATGATTTTACATACATTTTTAAATAAAGTCCAAGCATCACAAACTCACAACTGTATTATTGCATCACACTGGAGCAAGAAGCTGATGTACACTGAAACATGCACATCTGTGGCCATGTGCCCCCTTTCTCCACTGAACTTGACTGTGCTGCAACAGCCCTGAGCTGTAGTTACCCCAAATTCTCAAATTTTGAAGGAGACTCAGCCCACAAAAGGTTATCAGGCACTGAATTCACAGCTCATCTCCACAGACATTCTTCTAACCTAATGAAACAGGACAGAACAGATGCCTGTCTATCCGCTTCCATTGACTGTACAGGAAGGGTACAATGATTGAAGCATCTCAAAATCAGGTGCTTAAGTGGGAGCAGATGACTCCCAGCCCACCCGCCTGGGGCAGCCCATCCTCCAAACACTGCTCAGAGCTCTGAAAATCCCTGAGGCACACAGAGCCTAAATAAAGCACAATTTCCTTCAATTTCTTCTTTTGCATCAAATATTTGCTCTCTTCCTGTGACCTTGTAGAAGCAATTAAAGATGAACGCTCAAGTCAGCACATTTATTCTGGGGCAAGAGGACAACCTTACCCATACTTAGCTGAAATAGCCAGACACATATACAGAAAGGCAAGAATTGCAAGGCTGTCAGGAGCTGAGGCATCGGCAGCGATTCCAGCAAACTCTTTCAGCACATCCAGCTGTTCTACGCTGGGGGACTTTGATTCATCAAAGTCAGCTATGGAGGCAAGCAGGGGAGAATTTCAACACTTAGAAACCAGAAAACTGTTCAACTTGAAAAAAAACACTGTTCTGTATTTACAAGAACAACACGAGCCACCTTCACGTTCCACCTACAAGCCTCTTGGCAAAGAACCTTTTCCTGACATCCAATAAAACAAAAGCAACCCGAGCATCCTGGACGTCTTCAGCCCCACAGCCGCACTACACACAGCGGTCGGAGGCGGAAAGGACCCCCGAAGGCCGCCTGTTCCCACGGCCCGCAGCGCACAGGGACACCCGCAGCTCCAGCAGCGCTCGCAGCCCCGTCCCCCGAGCGCGGCTGCGTGCAGGGCCGGATCACCACCACCACCACCTCCCCGTGCACGCCGCCTCACCGCCCCACCTGCGATGCGGTCCCTCAGGACGCGGAGCTCGGCCACGTCCCACTCCCTCCGCACTCCGACGCCGGGCAGACGGACGCACAGCCGCCCTCCGCCGCCGTGCCGCAGCCGCAGGAAGGTGCGCAGACCCAGCGCCACGGCCAGGGCCGCCTGAGGGAAAGACGGGGCCGTCAGCGTGGCCGTACCGCCCCGCGGAGCGCCGGGACGGCGGGGCCCTTACCTTGCCGTGCACCACGGCGTGCTCGCCGTGCAGGATCACCTTCCCCGGGGCGGACACCAGCAGGCCGCGCTCCGGCATCGCTGCCGAGATGAGAACGCCGCGATCTCCGACGGTCCCGCTCCGCCGCGGCTTCAACCACGCGCCGACCGCCGGACGGAGTGACGGCGCCGCTAGCCAATAGCGGCCTCGCTCCGCCTCGCCCTCCTGAGCTCGAACCAATCGCGGGGCTCTTTTCGGGGGTGGGGTTTCGGAGCAGCCAATCGGGAAGCGGCGGCGCGGAGTGGCGCGGCGCTGGGGTGACGGCGGCGAGGAGGGACGGGGGCCGAGCGGGGCCGGAGGCTACGGCGGCCGGGAGGAATGCTGCGACGGGCGGCGGGGCGAGGGCTGGGCGCGCCGCTGTGGGCGGTGGTGGGGCGAGGACGGAGCGGTGAGGCGGGCAGGTGAGCGTGGGGCCGGGCTGAGGGCTGCCCGCAGGGCTGGGGCGCTCCGGGCCGTCCCACAGGGCTGCGCTCACTTCGAGGCCTGGGCGCTCCTGGCCTTCCCTCAGTGCCCCCTCAGGGCCTGACGCCCAAGGCCCGCAGCGCCTTTTCCCCCTCAGTGTCCGTGCCTCCCTCACTCTGGGTCTCTCCACAGCCCTGAGCGAGGCCCTCGCAGCGCCCGCGCCCCCAGGATCTACACGAGAACGGGAGATGAAGGTAAGGCTGAGCAGGCAGCGGGGAGCGCAGGGCACGGCACGGCTGCTGGCCTCTAACCCGGGCGCTTCTCAAAGGCTTCTCCAGCACCTTCACTGGGGAGAGGAGGCCGAAGGGTGACCGCGTCTTTGAAGCTCTGGGGACGACGGATGAGCTGAGCTCCGCCATCGGGTGAGCCCTGATAGCCCACATTGCTCAGGGAATAACACACCCACCTGTGGCTTTGCTTCCAGCTAACCCTGCTTGTCTGCCTGCAGGCTTGCTAGCGAGCTGAGCAGTGAGAAGGGCCATGCATTTGTTGAACAGCTTCACAAGGTGAGTGTTGATAGGCCTGACCCGCTGTGCTGACTGCACGTATTCTTAAATACTCCTGTTGACACGTAGGAACTGAATTAAATAAGTATTGCATGTTAAAATAATGTCTATGCTCTGTGCTGTGATTGATTACTCTCCAAGAAGCAAACTTTTTTAGCCTGAAAGGATGCTGGTAGATCAGGTAGGTCAGTTGAGGACAGTTGCCAGGGGAAATTCAGGCTGGATGTTAGGAACTACTACTTTTCTGAAACAGTGATCAAGCACTGGAATGGGCTGCCCAGGGAAGTGGTGAAGTCATTGAACCTGGAGCTGTTCAAGGAACCTTTGGACGTCGTGTTGAGGTTTAGAGAACTGTTGGTGATTGGTAGATGGTTGGACTGGATGATCTTGTAGGTCTTTTCCAACCTTGGTGATTCTGTGATTCAGACAACATGCACCCAGGTCTGTTCTTCCATGCAGTCTCGGACATGAGTTCAGTTTTTCACGTAGCCTCAGTTTTGAAATGGGAATGTAACCATGTGGGCGTGATGGTGGGAGACAGCTCCCACTGTAGCAGTGTGTGGGTTATACTAATTAGCTTTGCTATGGAGAGGAACTCAAAAGGAGCTAATTAGAGATCTTATGAAACTTTACTAGGTTGCCTCTGAAATATCCCAGGTAATGGAGAGATGCTCCTTTTGGAAACACCTGTGCCATCAAGCCAGTATTGTCTCCAGCTGGTTGTCACTGCTTTTCCTTCAGAGGTTCCTGCTTTGGTGTTCTACCAGCAAAGGGATTATATGAGCACATCCTGGCCTGCTCTCTGCACAGTCAGCCAGGGTGGCTTAATGTGCCAGTGAAAACGAGTGCACGCGGTAATCTGGCTTCTCATAAAGCAATTAGGGAGCACTTATCTGATCCCCCCTGCCAGCAGGCTGGGGATGATGAACAACAAGGGTAGGATCTTCTTTAATCAGCACAACCAGCTGTCGCCTCCCAGAGCTTGCTGCGGTTGTACTGGAGCATCAAGGGATAATGAAAGCACTTCTTATTTTTGTCCTGATTGCCACATCTAGGTCCAGTGTATGCTGCAGGATGTGGGCTCCAACATCGCAACACCTCTCTCCTCAGCCAGGGAAGCTCACTTAAGTAAGCCTCAGAGGTCCTTTCCTGGGATAACAGTTCTTGCATCCAGTGCATCTCACACTGGCAGTGGGGAGGCTCTCCCAGCGTGTGGCAATCAGAGCTGCCCAAGGGCTGCTCCACACCATGTGTGTGGGTGCTGAGTGAGCAGCACGTGGTCTCACAAGCTGCTGCTGCTGCTGCATCTGTGTGACCGAGTGTAAGCTGCTCTGGGGCACTGCCCCAAAATTGACACACAGCCACAGCTGCCAAATGGGGAGCTGGACTTGCTCCAGCAAGATGATTCTTTTGGGATCCCAAAAGAAACGTGAAAGTAGAGCCTATCTGTAGGCTGAATGACTCCTACATGTCTTGTAGCTGACTTTTCTTTTCTCTCTGTAGAAAGAACATCTTTTAGTGAGGAGCCTGTTTTGGAGCTGGAGAAGTGGATTGACAGATACTCAGAGCAGCTTCCTCCGCTTAGAGCTTTCATCTTGCCAGTAGGTACTGCTTATGCCACTCACTGACAGGAGAAGGCTGGCCTTGTTAGAGTAAATCTGCTTTACTGTTTGCCTTGGGAGCTGGGGGAAAACAGGTTGTGAAGCTGTTATTTGGGTGGACAAATACCAAGTAAAGCAGAGAGAAGGAACAGGTCAAGTTAAATTTCTCCATCCTTCTGCCACATAATGCAGCATTCGGTTGTGCATATGTGAGATGTGACAAGCTTGGCTGCAATTATACAGTGAGGTGCATGGTTACCTGTTGTTAGCAGACGCTGATGTGCTGTTTCATTGTTGTTTCAGTCAGGAGGTAAAAGCAGTGCTGCTCTCCATTTTTCCCGAGCTGTCTGTCGCAGAGCTGAGAGGTGGTGAGTGTTGGCTGTTAGTGCAACTGAATAAAATGGATAGAAGATGATCGTACTGTTACAACAAGAGCAAATTGTTACAACCAGAGCAACTGACCATAGCTGTTCTGCACTCAGCTCTGCATGTTTGTGTTAGTCAAATTCCTAGAGTGCAGTCAGCAAAAATATAAATCTCTCTTTCCTCCCCTGGACTGGTTTCATATGAGCTAAGAACTTCAAAAAGGACAGGTTTATGTAGAGATGCGTCTGTATTCAGCTAGTATCTAGTTTGTTAGGTATACTTTGTAGGTGAGAACACATGGAAGCTGGGGCAGTGGCAGGCAGAATGTGGTGAGGTCTGATGCTCCAGAATGCTCGCAGCTAGCCAGTTAAATACACTGAAACTCTCCTTTTCTTGCCTAGTGTGGTTCCTCTAGTACAAGCAGGGGAAGCAGATCCAAACGTGGCCAAATATTTAAACAGGTAAAGAAATCCATCTCCTTTTTCTGTACTGCTGAAGCATGCTTGGTGTTGTTCCCTCACTCTCATTGTGAAACTGTCGGGCTTCACCTTTCAAGGAGTTTACCTCCTAGATTAAGACCTTTGAAGTCTGAAGAAGCAGCTTTTTAAAAAGTATTGTTGCATGGCCTTGTATGTGTTTGCAGAGACTACTGGGTGCTGAGGGGGGGGCAGCCACTTAATTTTCTGCATCAAGATTGGAATCACTTCTTGCGTGGATTCTCTACTTCCAGTTCTTGTGCTGTAATGGAATGTGCTTTGTTGCACAGCTGCATGCTGCTGGTTACACCTGATGTGAGTAGCAGTTTCATTGCTTTTCCCTTGGTTTACAGACTGAGCGACTACCTCTTCGTTTTGGCACGTTATGCTGCAATGAAGGAAGGGAAGGAAGAGAAAATATATACAAAGCCAGAACCATAACTGGAAGCTGGGATGTTTGTGTTGTAGATCTTGGAAAACTAAATTCAGCAGAGTGCTTTCCCCAGGCATGGATGGGAAAGAGAGCAAGCCTGAATTGGGAATGTGAGCTGCCAAAGACTCAGGTTAATATGATCAGGACCTTGCTCATAAATGTTGTAAGGAACGCAGCTGTTCTGTTCACTAGCCTCGCAGTAACACAGTGGTGTTGATTTCAGAATTACTCTTTGCCCTGGAACAGAGCTGAGACTTGTAATAATTCCAGCTGATTTCTAGAGTTGTCTTAATTTCCCTGGGCAGTGGCAGGTTCTGTGGAAAGACTTTGACAGGGCTCTGAGGTATGAAGAAAACAATCAGCTTTCCTTTGTAAGTCATAATGCTCATACAGAACAGGTACTGTGCTGAGATTCAGGAACTCTGTCCACAAGCTTTGAAATAATAAATGTGATTTACTTGTACCAAAGGGCCCTTAACTGTCATGCTTTAATACTGAGCCCAGCTTGCTTTTCTTTTTTAAGTTGCTTTCAATCCATCAGCCCTGGCTGAAGCTGAGCTGTGTAGATTTACAGGAACACACTTAGAATTCTTTGGCTCTGGCTGTCTCTCTTTATGCATGTGAAAAATGTGTCTGTGCTGACAATCCCACACATCCTCTGCCAGGAACAGGCTTGTGTAGGACAGGATTAAAAGAGAATGGGCCAAATCTTACAGGTCGTGTGCAGGCAAGATCTGCTTAGTTAGCTGGGGTTAAGTCCCTGCAGGGCTGCCCCTCCCAGCACACAGACCCCTTGAGAACAGCTTGGTCAGCATCCCGCTTTAACTGCAGGAATTGGTTTGAGTCCAGTTATGAAATATCTGCCAGCCAGGGACCACTCAGGTCCAGTCTGCACATAGAGGGGTTGTGATGAGGGGCCTGGAGCTTCTTCAGCTGATGCAGTGAGAGGTGAAAGAAAGAGGCCAATAGCTACAGGCGTTCATATCTCAGACCTATGAATGTTCTGAGGAGTTTCACTCTCATGGAGCATTCAGCAGAGGGCATTGGAAGGTGTCCTAAAGCTTGGAGATCCTGGCTGCAAACATCACAGTAGTATTTCCAACACAGAAGACATCCTCTGTTGGAGCTCATCAAGGTCAGCTGAACGCTTCATCTTGCAGAACAGCTGCATGCTTTGTTGCATTGTTTCTTGACTTGCCCTTTTTGGCAAATTTAATTGTATCAATTTACATGATACAAGCTTAGCAGCCTGATTTTCTTTCTGGAACAAAAAGCGACCTCCAAGTAAACTGACAGAGCAAACTAGAATTCAGGAATCTTAGGCTCTTTTGGAAGCTTTTTCAGCTTCCTGATGGATTGGACTGCCAAAAAACATACTCAGTGTGTAAACAAGTGTGTTACAGCCAAGTGAATGTATTAACACCCTGCTACTCACTCTGTATACAGAATAGCCAGACGTTACAGTTGAAGTCCAAGTCTCTTACAGCTTGGTAATCTGGAAGGATATGTGTGAGACATTGGTTTTAGTCTTCTGCTTGTAAGGAGGAGCATCAGAGGACAGGGGGCTGCGAGGTGATTGCACAGGTGCTTGCCCTGCTGTAAGGGTGGCACTCGTGGTGGTGGGAGCTCTTAAGTCACACAGTTTCCACTGTTCCATTATTTCAAGTAGGAACAACTTTGAAGTTGCTCCCCAAAAGAGGCTCTGGCTTTTGTGTTAACCTCTTAATCAGAAGGGGGTCAGTGTGAAGAACACCCAGCACTAACGGACTCTGCTGTCTCATTATTCACCTCTTTTCTTTTAAAACACATATTTCATGGCTATTGTTAATGCACATTTTTCACAGAGTAATTTTCCAAACCTCAGCCTGTAACACATCCCAATGACAAATGCTCTTGATTTGGACTGTACCGTCAGCTGCAGTGTCACATCAGACATTTTCTCAATGCCTGCTCCAGACAGGCCATCCAGTTTTATGATAGCTCTGTCTCGGTGATCACTATTGAACCTTAAGAATCTAGAGGCTTTTCAAGTTTAATTGAATAAAATTCTTTGCAATATAAATTCTTCATGAATGCTATATAAATCAGCTCCAGGATGGATTTATAGTATTTTCTTTTTTTTCCAACTGGGGGGAAGAAATCTCACTACTGTTTTGGGACCAAAGCTAGCATTGTTTTGAGTGCAAGGAGGAATAAATTTAGCTACCATGCTCTTAGATGATGTAGAGATTAAATTTATTAGGGTTCACTCAGCTTCCAGCTCTCTCTTTGTACCCTAACAGGTCTGTGCAATTGTTTCTGCACGGCTGAAGCTGAGGGATGCTAGTGTGTGGGGTGCCTCTGTTTTCCAGATAAACAGGCACAGGAGCCAGTGCTCAAATTTAGACAGTAGGAGAACTCAGGCTGAGAGCAATCCCAGCCACAGGGGCAGCTAGAGCTCAGCAGAGCTGAGCTCCACAGAGACCATGCTTTGCCTTTGGTGAGTTTACAGCCTACAGAGTATTTACCCAGTGCTTTAGCACCAGGTTGTACAGCACTTGCCTGTATCAAATGGGCTGCTGGCTGTTATGTTGCAGCCAGGGATACAGGAGCTTTTGCACCAGCTTCTAGAGTGGCTGAACTGGCAGCTGCTAGCACTCAGGGCAGCGTGCAGGAATGCCTCAGAGCCTAGCAAGAGAAGGCACAGGTGAGCAAAGAATCATTGCAATTAAATACAGGCTTTAAAACTAGTAAAGTGTTGGTGCTGGGTTTGGTTTTTCCAAGTCCTTCAATTCCACCTAGCAAATGTAGCCATGCAACATAGGGATTCCAGTGCCTGCACCTCATTAATATAGTGGGAGAAGGGCAGATGCTGTGTCCGTGCTGACCGTCTGCAGAGCCCAGACACATTCCTGCCTAGCAGGGTTCCTTATTTATGATTACGTTGGAACTGCCAGCAGAGACATATGTTGCTAAGGGTCGTTTATTCTTGTTTGTAAAATGTATGGCTGCTCCTAGCTTACATACTGTCAAAACTGGAAGAACTGGCCCCAAAATCTCTTGCTGCATGATTGGATCAGACGCCTGTACATCTGTTAACGCTGTAGGAGCTGTAAAATGAAATAAGTTTCACTATAACTCAAGCACCTCTATTACCACCACAATGTGCAAGCAGCAGAGCTGGCTGCTGCTCTTGCAGAAATGACACAAACATACATTTTGCCAAGTTGTATGTAAATTTATACAAGGCAGCATTGCCCCCGCTAACACAGAGAAGGAAGGGCTGATGCATGCGTGTGCCCCCACCCTGAGGGATGCACTGGGGCTGCAGCCACAGGGGGAAGTCTTGAGGTGTACACAGCCACACTGCACTGTCTCTGTCAAGCTGCAGGTGCAAAAGGGACCACCTCTGCCATTGGGTCAAGTCCTCTGCTCCTGAAATACTCATCTAGAAGGAGTCAAAACTAAGCTCTAGAAATGCTTCATCTCATGCTGCTCAGTGCTGCAGGGAGCCAGGACAGCCCATCCATCTGAACACACAACCAGCCCCTGCCCAGAGCACAGTACTATCAAATGGAGGAACTACCAGGCTGCAGTGCAAGTCACGGACGCTTGAGAAGCAGCAAGAAGAGCTGTCTGCTCCCAAAATATGCTCCTGCTTGAGTGGGACCCCAGCACCACTCCAGGTCAAGCAATCCAGCTCTGCTCCATACCCCACGTGCACAGTCCCAGCACCTCACTGTGCACAGAAACAGCCCTGACAAACTCATGCTCGCTTCTCGGTGCCACAGAAGCAGGCATTTTGCAGGCCTGCCTGTCTGTTGCCAGCTTTCTGCCTTCACAGCATCTGCTGTGAGATTTCTTTTTGCCGTTTCTGATGGTGCCATATGCCTCATTGTCAAAACAATGGTGCTTGCACACTGACTGGGAGCCCTGGGCCATGCTCCCACCGAGCTTGAGCCCCAGCTGAGCCCCACAGCCCATGGGGCTGCCCCAAGCACTGCGGAGAAGCAGGACCAGCAGCCACGGCTCTGTGTGATATGAAGGGTCCCACAAGCACCTGCTTACACTGAGGACAACAAACCCCCCCCTTAAGGGCTATCACAGCACCCTGCAAGACTGCACAGCATTTCTCAAAGTATATTCTAGAACACAAGTCCTGCTCCAAGGAACCCCACCAGGTCTCTTCCAGGCTCAGAGCTGCTCACAGCCACATAGGCAGTGCCCCAGGGAGCTCAGCTCAGGGCTGCCAGAGCACGTGTGCCAAGAACCAGCCTGAAAAAACAGATCCCCAAGCACCCAGCAGCCTCCATGCCCACCCCACAGCCTGCTGGCAGAGGAACTGATGCCCCAAAGCTCTGCTCCCACTCTGCTGTGCACTCTGCACGTTACACCCCGTGGTTTCCCTACCCTTGGGGAAAGGAAGAAGAACCATCCAATCATCATACCAGGTTTATTTTTTCCTCTTTCCTGCATTGCTTATACAAGAGATGCACCAAGGTCTCTGCAGCAGCAAGTCTTCTATAGAAAAAATAGTCATTAATCTCCCGTGGCAAAGCCATCCCTGTCCTACAAAGGACACCCGCGCAGAATACAGCAGTGCAGGCAGGGAATGGTTCTCAGCCTTCTGCTCGGCTGAAATCGTATTAAAGACTCTCAGTTGTACAGGAGTCAGCTACTCAAAAGAAATATTATTGTTGCACACACGGTCACCAGGGTGCTTACTACACAATCACGTTTTATCTGCTAGCTACAAAATTGGATGTACTGTCTGGTAGTGCAATATTTCCAGGTTGGGAGGGACCTGGCTAAGACCACATTAAGATCTTTTCTAGGAATTGTACTCCTGAGGAACGAAGGGAAAAAAGAGGAGCAAAGATTTTACTTCATTGTGTTCAAAGCCTTTCACACAACAATCAATGTGCTCATTGAGACTCCTAGAAAAAGGGATCTGGTGTTATACTTTAAGCTAGGGATGGTACAACTCAGAGCCTAAGCCTCTCAGCTACACAGTTAACAGCCTAACGCTGAAATGCTCTTTAAGTAAAAAAAAAAAAAAAGAAAGAAAAAAAAACAACATAAAAACAACCCCCAAACAATTTTTACCATCATCTTTATCTGCTTTGGACTTAGTCCAGCATCTTGAATTCTCGGAATGCAGACATTTGTGTCCTTTCTAACATTTCCAATCACTCCTGCTTTCTATTACTGAGATGATTAAGAAAAAGGACTCTACACTGCTTTCCAGATGCATTTCCAGGCACCTCCATTTTCTCTGAAAATCAGTTAATGCCATATAGAACAGAGAAAGATAAAGCAAAGGGCATTTCTGTACTCTGGGTTGAATGCTGCCATGTATTTTCTGGTCTGATGTGCAGCACACAGTGGTTAGGGTGGCTAAGAGGGCCTTCGAGAGAGCCCAGGAACCTCTGTTTTTGCTGAGCACACCTGGGGAAAGGAAGGTGAAGCTGCAGAGACATGACAGATGAGGCTCTGAATATCAGTAGAAACTCCAGGAAGGCTCCACGCCTTCCCAACACACACATGCACACCCCCACTCACACCCTTTCTTTCACCACAAAAAAAAAAACACCTGAAAAAGCTGCCTGTTACAGGCAAGCATCAGCTTGTAAAAATAAGGCCAGAAAGAGGCAAAGCAACTAAAACAAAGACTTTGGCAACAAAGCAAATGTGGCTGTTACACAGAGGCCAAGTCTGGGTTCACAACAGCGCATCTCCCTAACAAAAGAGATTGCAAAGTGAAACTTCCATCCAAGTAATGAAGCTTTGCCAGCAGAGGTTTTCAGAGGGCTCTGGGCAGCCTGACACATTCCCCTTCCAGAAAGCACAGGGGGCACCCATCCCACTGCAGCTCTGCTGGGGAGCAAGGGCTGCCCAAGCCATGTGCCAGTTTCCAGCTAAATAAAATTAAACCTTTTCTGCTCCCAAACAAATTCCAACAACCCCTTTTGTCCAAATTACAGCTCTAGCAAGAGCTTGGCAGAGGCACAGCTGGCTCAGCATGCTGACCCCCATGCCTGCTGCTTGAGCTCTTAACCTACAGTGCTCCAAAGCCTTCCTGAGAATGGCAGGGTCCATCTGCTTGCATTTAACCTGCTGCTTCTCGAGTCTGGGCTAGTGGTTCATTCTCTGAGACAAATGCAAGGGCCTTACATGGAGTAAGGGCATCAGAAAGCCCTCACGCGTTACCTGACCTGAGTAATGAGTGCCTGTTTGTGGCACGTCCAGCACTGCAGCTTTGTGCTTGTCTACTTGTGGGCTCGGTCCCATTTCTCCCTTTGTGCAGCTTTTCACTGATCGGCTTCCACCCAGTAAGAAACCAGACCACCTCCTGGGAAAGGAAAAAGAAATATTCCTGCAGAGGCAGCTGCCTGCTATGGGTATGACGGTCACTAATCTGACTGGCACTTTTAATGTTCCTTTTATGCTCCCCCGGGGTTTGCTTTTAAAGATGATTTACGTGGGTGTCAAGTGAAGAGTATTGGATCAGGCCCATCGCCTCCTTCATCCTGGAGGAGTGCCCAAAAAGAGCCAGCCCTGTCTAGCCCAGAAGCTCTTCCCTGTAAACCTCCATGATCAGCTGCATCTCTCCAGCCCTCGAGTGAGCAATCAGCTCCTACAGAGCTGATGTGCTCTGTGTGTGAAGGCCTCCACCTCCAGCAGCAGTCAGCAGCCCTGAGAGCCCCTGTTGTGGAGTCCAGGGCCACGGCAACTAGGATAACTCGAAGCCAGTGTTCATGCTGATGGCATAGCGCAGCTTCTCCCGCAGAATGCTCTTCTTGCTGTAGTTGGGAAGCTTGAGGAGGTTGAAACACGTGGAGGAGGTTGGGAGACGCCCACCTGGCTCTTTCTTGCGGATGGTGAAGAAGCCCCGTAGCACACTGCCCAGTGTGTCACCAGTGTCCTGGAACAGGGCAGAAATGCTGAGCTCATTTTGCATATATAAAAGGCAAAGGGGTGCTAACAGAGCTGGGAATAGGGAGAATCAGATCCTAAAACCCTGTCCCCCACAGCTGCTAACAATGAGCTGCTTTTAATTCCAAGTGCCATTACACATGCAGGGGGCACCGTGGAACAGGATCAGAAGCATGAGGATGTCATGTGTGAGGAGAAAGCACAACTCTGCAGATAAGCATGAAGAACCCAGCTGCTGCTGTGTTGGGAAGGAGGGAGGTACAGCTATATGCATTCTGTTAGTGGAAGCCTGTTTTCACCTTCATTTGTAGAATACACATCTTTATAGTTTAGTTTCCTGGTTGGATAGAGATGAGGAGGCTGGGCAGGGAAAGAGGAATGCCAGAAGCATGGCAAGGAATGCATGAGACATGAGCCAGCAGGCTGCCTACCTGGTCATCAGAGACTTCCACACAACGGATGGAAAATGGAGGCTTGAGGTAGGCAAAGCCGAGAAGTGGAGGCCTAGAGCAGCTGGTAACAAACTGAAAAAGTGATGGACAGTGAAAGACAGCAGCAGTGAGAGCAGCCTGGCTGTAACAGACACGTGGCTAATGCAGTCACAGCAAACAGCTGCTTAGACTGGCATCTGAGCACCCTACCATACAATACTGATGAGCTTTGTGCTCAGCTCTTCTAGCCTTTGAAAACTGCCATCCATGCAGCACTATTCATGTTAACAAAAGAGCATTTATAGAACTCTGCTTCCAAGGCACCCCCACCAGAGGAGCAGGGTGTAGATTAAGGCACTCAGCATTTTGATATTCCTTCTATTAGGGCAGAAAACAGGTAACAGGAGGAGAACAACACTGACTCAATTACCCTGAATTCCACGTTGGGCTGAAGAGACTGCATTTACCTTCAGAAACATGGCTCTCTCCTCAGGGCTGAAGTCATTGGCTAGGATGTCCCACAACCAGATAATGACCCGATGACTCCCATGGAAGCCTCCATAGTACACTGTGTGTTTTCTGGGGAGAAAAAGGTTGTGACAGGTTTGCAACCCACTGCAGCAGCAGGATCACAGCTGCCAGCACACAAGTGCTGGAAGGATCAGTACTGCTACCATGAGTCAGGGTTTACTACTATAGCAAACTGTCAGCACAGAGCCCCACAAATGCTTACTGGGTGCTTGATCAGAGGAAAGGAAAGGACAGGAATTCTGCTCTTGGGAACCGCTGCATGCCAGTGGAGGAAAGGACCCTTTGCATTCATTAATACTTTATCCAGATTAGCTTTAAGGAACTTACTATTCATTCTAATTCCCATTAGGGCAAACAGATAGCTGGGAAAGGGTCAGTCTCCTGCAAACCTCCAAATGACCACACAGTAACACAGCTTGATTTGCTGAATGAAAAGACCAGCAGACTCGGTTGGTCACTTACTTTAAGTCCTCGAGGTCAATCTCAGCATTGTCACCAGAGATCAGTCGCTGCAGCTCTGGTGCAGAGAACATACGGATCCACTCAGGCTTAATGATCGACCTGAATCCGCTGATGAGCGCTGCTGTCTGACTCTTGATCTGTGTGTGCATCCGGAAGTGAGCCATGAGATGGATGTAGCTGATCCTGTGTGCGAGAGGGAAGGTGGCAGCCAAAGAGCCAGAGCACCAAGAGATCCACCTCACACTATGAAATACTTTGCTATGATGAAAATATAGGCCGTTTTTTCCAAGACCTTAAGACTAACAGATCATGCTTTGCAGAGCCCTCACTGCACTGGAATTAACACACTAAGAATACTGAGGAGATTTTTTACCTTCACCCCAGTAGTACAGAAGAAGAGGTGCACTGTTTATTAAAAGGAGGCACCATCAGACTTCCTCTGCTTACTACCAGCCAAAAAATGAGACCTTGCTGCTCATCAGCTCCAAGGCAGTCACCACCACATTCGTGTTGTCTGTGTTTTCAGCCAGGTAACCTCACTGTCAGTGAGAGAAAGAACTTTTTCCTGGATTGCTTCCATTTTATAATACTTGTGCTCCCTCCCAGCTACCAATTTGCACGTTCATCTGCACAAAAGCTTCAAAGTTTCTGCTGTAAGAGAGCACAGCAACATACAGGACTTTCAACTTCCTCCCTGAGCTGACTTCTGACAAGCCACAGAAAGATCCTTTCAAATGCGAACTCCTCAGTAAGAGCTCAAGAGGGAAAAAGAGTGGGCAAATCAGATTGCAAAGCACACTAACAAAGATGAATCTTTAGGTGGGATCCAGCTTTCATTTACCATTAAAGAGAAGAAACCCCAGATTACCAGTTCTAACACACATCTGCATAATAGGTATTTTATCTTGCATTTATGATCACTGAAGGGTATAGCTAAGAAAAAAAATATGAAGGGAACAGAAAGGTGGGTTTAGTTTTCAGGCTCTGGAGTTGACATTTATGATAACTATCTAAAAGCCGGTTATCTGTGAAAATAGCTACAGGGCTCAGTGTCTCCTCTGATTTCCTGTGTCTAAAGTACGACTGTCGACTACATTTGAATTCACCACTGTCTCTTCTGAAGAACAGTGCTTTATACAACTGCCACATGTTATCATTTTGAGAAGATCTGTCTGCTCCAAGGTGTCTTTGAGCATCTGTGCCCTCTATGTTCACGACTGTGTGCCTGAATTGCTTTGAATCCATCTGTCTGCATCTATCACCATCATTAAATCCTGCAGAATCTCACAGACTGTGTGCCTTTGACCTCAGAAACACTGTTGCAAGAAGTAAATTGTCAATTTCTATTTTGCAAATCGAATTTAATACAATTTCTGCCGATGAACTGTAACCAGTAAATTCTATTAAGATATTTATGGGCTCCTTCTACTCTAATCTATCTCAATTCATTCCAGATGCAAGCCCAAGGAACTAGAATAAAGTATTTTGCAGTGGTGACCTTAAAAATCTAATTGCTGTACTTACTTATTTTCATTGGTAACGGGAATGGTCTTCCCTCCAGGAACAAGTTCATGGCAAACAAGCTGAGGGAAGAAATGATTGTATTGCTAATTACTGCCTGGAACCACAATGGAAAGAAATGTCACGCTAAGCTGTTGCCTCCCCATAAAACATTTATTTTTACAATAAAACAGTGGGAT